CCCCCCCCCCCCCCGTCCATACAGGCAGTCCTCGGCTTTCAACAGTTCGTTTAGTGACCAAAGTTACAACGGCAATGAAAAGAAAAAAAAGGGGGACTCACGGCCGTTTTTCACGCTTACGCCCGTTGCAGTATCCTCACGTGATCCAAGTTCAGAGGCTTGGCAACTGCTTCGTATTTATGACGGTCGCAGTGTCCCGGGATTGTTGTTTTTTTTCTTTTTCACACACGATCCCCTTTTGCAACCTTCGGAGCCAGGTTTGCTTAACCACCGTGGGACGAGCTGAACAGCTGCAGTGATTCGCTTAGCAACGGTGGCAAGAAAAACGGGGGGAAAACTCACTTCACAAATGTCTCGCTTAGAAACATAAAATCTGGGCTCGACTGTGGGCGTTAAGTCGAGGACTACTGCTATTTCGTGTGTGTGTGTGTGTGTGTGGTTTATTAAAAGAGGAGCTATTTCAAGATTTCCCATCCATTCCAACGGAGAATAACCATGAGCTCCTGGCCCAGGGGGCAGCTAGGGGTGCGTGTGTGTCTGTGTGTGTCTTTGTGTGTGTGTGTGTCCCCGTCCGCAGCTCTCTTCTTATTGGAAAACCTTGGCCTTGATCTTTCAGGGGTACAAAAAGACCCCAGGCCCCTGCAGATAAAGGGGTGTTGCCCCTGGGAATCCCCTGGATGCCAGAGGGGCTGCAGAGGGGGGATTCAGCAGCCCCAGGACTGCCCCCCCCACCTGCCGGGGCTCCCCAAACGGAAGGCTGACTGTCTGGGATGGACTAGCCCTCCTGCACGCACACACACACACACACACTCGGGTGGTGAGGTTATGATTTTATTTTATGATTTTTTTAAAAATTATTTCTATTTCTACACTGGCTTTTTTTTTAATGATCTAGAATTGCCGTGAATGGTAGAAATAAAAGTAATGCAGAGCGTTTTCTGAAATTAGCAAAGGGGGGCCTGACCCACAAGGAGGTCCTGGCTAAAGACAGAGGCCTCCCTGGGAAGCTGCAGGCAGGGCGTGTGTGGAGGTCTGGTGGAGACCAAGGCAGTGTGTGTGTGTGGGCAGAGACGAGAGGCTCAACAGCTTCGTTATCATCTCGGCTTTATTACAGGCAGAGTAAATTGCTTTTGTCTGAAGCCCCATCATGGTCAGAGGAGGCAAACGGCATTTGCACACTGCCTGCTTAATTCCCGGCTGGGGCTCTGCATATTAAGCTCACACACCCCCCCTCTCTCTGCAACGGGCGAGGCTGCTGCAAACTTTCAGAGGACACCCGTGGTGCAGGGGGAGCTTCTGAGGTGCCCCGTCTCCCTGCTCCCCCCCGCCAAAAAAAAAATCGGCACTGGGGCAAAAGGAAGGCAGGGAGTTTGGGGCCTTCGGTATCTTAATCCACACGGCAAACCGGGAAACTGGAGCCCCCTTGGGAATCTGGTCCCCATCCTGGGCCCTGCCGGGATTAGCACCAGGTCCCTGTTTTGTGGCTTGTTGTGAGACCAGAGCATCGTGCAGCCCCCAAAAGGGCAAAAATCCCGACAACTGGTGGACAAACCAGTTCCGGGTATCGCCTGCCGGCACCCCTCATCGTTCGGGTTCTAGGTGCCCCAAAGTGTCTTTGCTCCGGGCCGTTTTGGCTGGACCTGTGGACGTTCAGAAGGCTGGAAACTGCCCTTCTCTGTGGTGGCCTCTGTCCTGTGAAACAAAACAAAAAAAACAAAAACCCCACCAAGCTCAGAGAGCACCCAGGAGCCCTCATTTCAACCCAGACCTACAAACAGTCTCCTCAATTGCTCCCAGGTGCACAGCAAGAAGTCGTTCCCCACGTCCTTCAGGCATGACTGAAGGTTCCAGAAAACCTCCAGGAATTGGGGACCCTCTCCACCTCTCCTTGGCCAGTTCACGTGGCAGCCCACCTTCCCTTCCCCTTCTACCCAGAGGGGCCCTGGGCCGAGCCTCCTACCTCCACGGGGCGAGTGTGCCCGGGTGCTCCCCCCTCGCCCTCAACTGCCCAGCTGGTCCAAGAGGCTCTGCACGTTGTCCGTGAACTCGTTCCGTGTCTTCTCGCCCCCTGCTAGTTTCACAGGGCGTAGGCAGGGGTGGGGGGCCTCCGGGTTTCCGGGGCACCAGACGCTGCAGAGGAAGAACCACACGGCGTCCGGATCGACCTCCATCAGGCGAAGGAAAACACTGCAAAAGCGGGAGGAGAGGAAAGATGCAGGCCGAGGGCTGGGGGTGGCAAGGGAGGCCAGGGCCCAGCTCTGACATATGGGGGGGGGGATCCCCCTTTCTGGTTTCTGGGCCTTCGACTCCGTTTTTATCTTTTCATATTTTACCCTGTATATTATCGTTTTCCCCAAAATACGACCTACCCTGACAGTTAAGTCCTACCTAAAACTTGATATATTTTGTTTACATTTGCCCAATATAAGCCCTATCCCAAAAATAAAGCCTTAAGATCCCCACCCACTCTAGAGTGGGTAAAAATTAAGTTAGGGTGGGGATGGGATGGGAGGGATGGAGCTGCGCTACTACTTACCTTTGGACAATCGTAGCCAGGCCTCGCACTCACCCCCCGACACCTGCCTTGCCGGCCCATTTCTTCTGCAGCCGGCAAGGCTGGCAAAGGCTTCCCTGAGGGCCCCTGGAGCTGAGAACAAAGCTCTGGATCGATCCTGAGCTCTCTTATCGGCTGCAGAGGCCTTCGGGAAAGTCTTGCTGGCTGCAGAAGCAGCAGCTCCCGAAGGCCTCTGGCAGCGAAAAGGAGGCCAGGGGGCGATGCATGCAAGAGAGGTTAGTCAGTGGATGACATCCCTCGAAAATAAGACCTGGTGCCTTTTCTTTTTTGGTGGCAAAAAAACATATTAAGACAGGGTCTTATTTTCAGGGGGATATTATCTACATATATATATATATACAATTGCTGGTGCTTTATTTAAACTGATATTTGTACGATCAGTGATTGCATGACCTCAGTAGATGCCATACGCGAAATAAATATTTATTCTCGAAACACGCTAAGCTTGATTGTGTAGCTCCACCATCTTGTGTAAACCCAACGTGCGTCATTAAGCTTAGGAGCCCACGTCTGATGTGACCCTCCAAAATGGTGTATCCACTCACCCACTCAAACGAGATTGGGTAGTTTAAGGAACGTTGATTTTTAGCTTCAATTCTTCACCTCTGACTTTTCTCCCTGATCCGGAAGATTATTATTTTTTTGGGTAGCCATGGAGCAGAGCAGCCAAACCTACAAAACTAGCATTTCTGTCAGAGCTGCCACCTTATACCTATAAGGAAAGGGAGGAAGGAAGGGTGGATGCTGGGTGGGTGGGTGGGTGGGGGGAACGGATGGAAGGAAACATGCTTCTCAGGGGAGACTGGTACTTCAAGGTCGTTTCCCTGGGAGAAGAAAGAAGCTGCAAGACAGTCTACGCTCAAAGCGACTGTTCTCAAAACCACCTTCTCTGAAACTGGATGTTGGGAGGGGGAGACAGGCAGTGGGAAGAAGAGCCTGGGAGGGAGAAAGTTATACTCAGGGATTTGGTGCAGGAACTACAGTTCTGGCTTTGCTTTCCTGTAGTCCACTTGGCCTTCAGTCCACTATACCTTTCTCAACAAAGGGGAGTCCAGGATGGTCCTTGCTTGAAGGAGACCCAAGTGGGTCTCCACCTCCTTTCCCAAGTGGCCCTCCAGCCTCCGTTCAACGCCTCCTGCACAGGAGAGCAGACCATTTCCGGATCTGCTTTACCTCACCCCCTGGATCAAATCTGCTTCTCCGAGGACTCGCCAGTCCCAGTCTGGAGCCAAGAGAGAAGTGCTCTCTCCACGGCTCCGTCATTTAAGGGCTGAAGGCAAAAGCGGTTCCATTGGCGAATTCTCCTAGCAGTGAGCACGATTCCCCAGGGGAACAACACGTCTCCGGAGGTTGTGGGCGCTCCAACCCTGGAGGTTTTAAAGAGACCGAACAGCCACTTACTTGCCTGAAATGGTACAGGATCTCCTGCTTGAGAAAATATATTTGATTGTTCGTGGATTAACTGCAGCTAGAATTGTATTTGCTCAAAATTAGAAGAGCGAAGAGATTCCTACTGATGGAAATGGGATTAGGAAAATATTAGAATGTGCAGGAATGAATAGATTAAGACTTGCAATTAAAGAGAAGGTGCAAACTGAATATTGTAAGATATGGGAACTATTTCATTAATGTCTAGAGAAAAAATATGAAAGCTAGAAATAGCTAATAGATTAGTGAAATATAGAAAATAGGTCTACGGAATTAAACATGCTAAGAAGAGGTTACAATAACAGAGGTATTATGTATATTGATCGGATAAGAATAAGACAAAGAACAGAGAATACCAAAGTAATGAACATGGATGTAAATTTTAATGGTTACTGCACAAGATACTTGTACCCAGATGACACACCGTTAAATGGAAGATGAATTGTATGTACCTTCAATAAAATAAAATAAAAAATACCAATAAAAAAAAAAGAAAAAAAAAGAATCTCCTGCTTGAGCAGGGGGCTGGACTAGAAGACCTCCAAGGTCCCTACCAGCTCTATTCTGATTCTGAGCGCTATCACTTTCTCCTGAATCTTCTCCCACCCTTTTCAGTGCTGTCCCCAGGAGCCGATTTTAGGGCGCTTTCCGCTCCTTCAACGCCCACTCCAGTTGGATGACACCCACTAAAAGCACAGACAAGGTTCCCACAGCTGGACTTCCCGGGGGCTCTGGCAAGAGCCACCCCTCCCTCTTCCCCTCCTCCTCTTTTCGAAGTGAAAAGGAGCTGGAAAGGAATTTTTAAGCTGCCACGAATGAGAGAGCCTGTAGAGGAAGTAACATCCCTGTAAATCAAGGAGGGACGAAGGGAGACAGTTAAAGCCCTCTAAGGTCCATAAATCTAGCAGTTGGTTAAGGCCGCAGGAGAAGAGAAACAAGCCCAAGTCACTAAAAAGCACCGTTAAGAATGCCCAGCGCTTAGATGCAGAGGATTCCCCCTCCCCCCATCTTCCTTCCTGTCACTTTGCTCCTTCTTCCTTCCCTCTCTTCCTCCCTTTTGATTCCCATCTTCCTTTCTCCTTCCCTCTCCTTCTTTCCTTAGATCTCTCCTCCCTCCCTTTTTTCCTTCCATTCCTTTCCTTCCTTCCATCCCTCTTTCCTTCATCCTTCCTCAGATCTCTCCCTTTTCCTTCTATCCCTTTCCTTCCTTCCATCCTTCCTTCCTCCTTCCTCAGATCTCCTCCCTCCCTTTTCCTTCCATTCCTCTTTCCTTCCTCCTATCTCT